CAATTACTGATTGTTTTCCAATTAAGTCATTAATCTAAGATGCTTGCTAAACATAAAATGTTGGCCACTTGATATTTTGAGTATATATTTTTAAGACGTTTAAGAGAAAACTGAGATGAAATTTCAAATACCATAACATGAATTATAAGATAAAACAAGTTTCAAAGAAATCACATACCCTAGAGGTAGAAGATCCAATTGTGGGGCTAATGTGATTCCAACTGGCTCTAAACCAGAAATTCAGCATACTTGTTGACTAAACTGATTACAATCTTTGTTTGGTGGATAGCGTAGGTTGATGTAAATTTAGACTGCATTGTAAGCATGCAGAACAATCTGACCTCAAGTGGTATTCCACAAGGGGCAAATGTCAATACCCATACAACTAGATGGTTCTATTATATGCCATCAAATTATACATTAGTTATCAAAATTAAGATGCCTACACTCAGTCTTAAATGGTCTTTCTTCTCAAATGTTCAATTAAATATCAATAATAAGTTTCAGAAATATATCAACCTATCTGATCTTATATACAAATAAAAAAGCATAGTTGTCTACAATGAGGAATATATAATGTATATTCCTACCAACCTATAACTTTCTTGGTTATATATATCTATATATATATATATATTTATCTATATATATAAAAGGCTGTGTCCCTCCAACTGGTAGCTACATGCACTGACCACCAGGGGGCAGACACTCAATGTAGGAGCTACCATGATGTTCACTGGCCAGCATCATGGACCTGGCACCAACAAACCAACACTTGGTTTCCCCCAAGTGGGACACAGGCCCTCCCACCACCCCAGAGTGACACCCTTCCTCTTCCAAGCAACTAGCCTCTTTACAGTTTCTTCAGCCCAGGAAAACAACTTACTTTATAGCCAAGTGCAAACATTTTACACTTTAACCAAATGTTTGTGAAGCATTTTCTTTTTCTTTTTTTTTTAAATATATTTTACAGAGAAGAAGGGAGAAGGATAGAAAGTCAGAAACATCGATGAGAGAGAAACATCGATCAGCCGCCTCCTGCACACCCCCTACCGGGGATGTGCCCACAACCAAGATACAAGCCCTTGACCGGAATCGAACCCGGGACACTTGAGTCTACAGGCTGACGCTCTATCCACTGAGCCAAACCGGTTTCGGCTTGTGAAGCATTTTCATGTGCCTCATCTCATTTGACCTTCACAGGAGTCAGACCCTATTTTCTTTTCATTAGCTGGAAAACAGAGATTTAGAAAGTTTAAAAACTCGACCTGACTAAAAATAAGTAAGAAATAGTGGAACTTGAAAATGACTTCACGTTTTCTCACTGCGCAGAATATAGTCAAACACTGCTGCAGTTAAATATTTTATACTTTGTTCTCCATGCGTGATCTACAATAATAATCTGCTTCTTGTTGATATTTACTGCTGTGTTGCTAACAATTACCTGAAAGAGAAGTTGGGGTGCTTCACAGGGCTGGAAAATGTTTAGCTAAATCAGAAAGCAGGTCTAATTAAGCAAGTTTATCATATATATATATATATATATATATATATATATATATATATATATATAAAAGGCTAAGTTGACTCGTGCATGTGCGATACATATAAAACTCTCAATGGCACCAACTGCACCTATGTGTTTCAATTTGTCATTATCAATAGTGAATTTGGTTGACACTTCTATTACACAGAAAGAGAAAATAGTGATATTAAAATATTTCTTCTAATTAATTTCCTTTCAATGTGCACGAATCCATGTACCAGGCCTCTAGTTTTCTAACGTTTGGGCCATAAAGCTTAGAAAGTGATTCATCCAATCTTTCAAGGGTACTCTAGAAAATATGTGATGCAAGTCATCACTATCTCTGGAAAAGACAAGATAGATATTCCAGTCTATCCATCATTCTCATAGACTGCTCATTTCTCATCTAAAACCAAACCATAAACTGGAGAGGCCCACTCTTGTCCTATACAATGGCAATCACTTCACTTGGTTTTAGGTTACCTCCAGTTACCATGCCTTAGGAATGTACCTGTCCCTTTCATCAATATCATCTGTGAAGGATTAGGCTACTCACTCAGGAAGCTGAACCAGTCTCTAGTTAACTTTGGGTTCAAAGAATGAAAAGGAATACCTGAACCAATATCCTCATTTTCATAAATGAGGAAAATGAGTCCAAAGAGATACTATGAATTGGTATGGTGGCATAGCTAATTGGTGGCAGATGTCAGAACAGAGTTCTTGCTAACGTCAAATAAATTTGACTCAATTTAAATTACCCCAAGGACACCATATTCACAAATGATTTAAGAAATAATTTTGTTTGCTCTCGGCCTTGGCACCATCTTCTTAGAAACCTCTGCACCATGAGAGCCAAGTGGAGGAAGAAACAAATGCACAGGCTGAAGCGCAAAGAAGAAAGATGAGGCAGAGGTCCAAGTAAACCACAAGCTTGTGCACCCGGGAAAGCCACATGAACAGAAGAGGGAAGCCAGAGGTCAGGGGGCCAGTCCAAGCTGTCGGATTGCATGCCTGCTGACTCTAGAACGTCTCCATGGGCCATCTGAATGCTGCGGCCATCTTTTGAGAGACCCATCCTGCTCTTAACAAAAAGTCTTTTGGATTTTTGCCCTGGACCCGAGACATTCTGGACTGGTTCTGTTCTCAGTTGTGGCTGAATGTAACGTGCACAATAAATCATCTCCTGTCTTAGCTGAAGGAAAAGATTTTTTTTAAAATTAAAAAAAAAAAATAACTTTGTTTTATACTGGAACATTAGCTAGCTAAGAAGTGAGTGGGAAGTGGCACTATCTCCTACACAGGATGCTGATCACACTTCAATCCATAGCTCCTCCACAAGCCATGGGAATGAGTTTTGCAATAGTAGGGCATGCAAACAAATTCTCAGGCACACATACCACTGATCACACAGTCTTTGCAATAAGAGCCACCAACTTTGGAAATGACTTGGCAACTATAAACTGCCTTGTAATATCATCAGCTGAATTTCCTATAATGGTATCTATCTTACCATTGCCAAACTCACAATTTCCAAATCCAACAAAGGATATTCTGTTTGACATGATCTCATAGTAGACAAAATTTTTAAGGTGCTGTATAGCTTTATGAATTTAAATTTTTGGTTACTCTTTTTTGTCCACTGATTTTTTTTTAAATATATTTTTATTGATTTTGGAGAAGGGAGAGGGAGAGAGAGATAAAAACATCAATGATGAAAGAGAACCACTGATTGGCTGCCTCCTGCATGTCCCCCAAGAAGGATTGAGCCTACAACCCAGGTATGTGCCCCTGACCAGAATTCAACCAGGGATCCTTCAGTCCACAGACCAATGCTCTATCCACTGAACCAAACCAGCTGGGGCTCCACTGATTTTTAGAGAGTAGAAGAGGGGTGAGAGAGAGGAAAATACATCAATGTGAGAGACACAGGCCCCAACTGGGGCCAGGGATTGAACCTGCAACCCAGGTACATGCTCTTGACTAGGAATCAAACCCAAGACCCTTTGGTGGATGGAACAATGCTCTAACCACTGAGAAATGCCAGCCAGGGCTAGAATTTAAATTTAACCCATTCTTTCTCAACAGGACACTATAACATTTTGAGAACAATTTTTGGTGGTGTGTGATTATCCATTGTAGGTTTCAAATCACTGGTCCTCCGTCCTCTAAAAGCAAGTAGTCCCATAAGACACAACCACCAGTATTAGCCCAACTGGTGATGTGGATCAGTGGTTGAACGCTGATCCATGAACTGGAAGGTCACTAGATCTCTTCCCGGTCAGGATACATGACCAGGTTGCAGGCTTGATCCCCAGTTGGGGGCATGCAGAAGGCAGCCAATCTCTCATCATTAATGTTTCTATCTCTCTATCCCTTTCCCTTCCTCTCTCTCTAAAAGCAATAAAAACCTATTAAAGATGTTTACATAAAAACAGACCTGACCCCTTAAGCAAGGTATTTCCCCTTTTGGACCTCAGTTGTCTCATCTATTTAAGCAAAGTAATTAGACTAAGTTATCTCTGGTTCATTACAGTTTTAGGAATCTGTTAAGTACAGAGGGTATATCTTGAGTATATAAAAAAGGAGTTGAATTACTTTATAATCCATTAATAATAGAAGCATAAAGATAATAACAACAGCAATACCCACCCAAACTTACGTTTATCTAGGCTAGACATATAATATAAATCCTGGCTGTATATTAGAATTATCTGAAGAGCTTTAAAAGAAATTGCCCCAGCTCAAAGCAAGCTTTTATCAAATGAATCAGAATCAGCAGTGATGGGGTTCATTTCTTAAGGCTCCCCAAATGATTCTGATGTACAGTGAAAACCAAGAACCACTAATCCATAACTTTAATCCAAGAAATGCAAAGCAAATGACCAAAGGTTAGTATATCACACACTAGTTGTATAATCAAACATCAACAAATAAGAATAATCCAGAGTTACTATTTACTGATATTCTCAATTACATAAAGGAAATTGCATTTCTAGAACAAAAGAAGAGCTCTTTTACAATCCCTTGTTCCTACTATAGCTCTTTATTGAGTACTGGCCCTGTCAGAAATAGAATATACTTCCTGATATAATAAAGTAGTTCAAAGAGGTATTACTACAAATTTTCCCACCCTTGCAAAAGTCCTGTCAATCACCAAGATAGTTACAACAATTGTAGTCAAAGTAATACAGAGACTGAAACTCCTCAACATAACTCTCATTCTCCAGGTCTCAGTAAAAGACCTAGTATGGAAAAAGAACCAGAAAAAGTTGAGAGGAATGTTTAGGAAAAGATACTTTCAAAAACTATATTCTAGACAAAGTACATCGTTTTCCACTTACTCATCAAAGCTTTAAGACCAGTGACATAGGAAAAGAAGAAGCAATCTTGGATAAAATTATTCTTACTCTTTTCAGAATAAACTCAGTGAAAGCAGGACAGATTAAATGGGCAAAACATTAAACTTCTTTCTTACCTTACATGTAAGGCTAAGCCATCCTGTAGGCTAGAGATCCCCACATCAGAGAGCGTATCCGAGCTGACAGAAGCGGGTGACAGAGAGCCCTCCTTCTCCTCCAGTAGATCCAGCTTCACCAGATTGCTGATCTCATCCTCCGAGTTATCTTCAGACACAGAACCGATTATGAATCGGGAATGCTGGTTCAGCTCCAGGGGTTTGGCCAAGGGGGATGGCTCATCCATTATTTCTTCAAAGTGAGATCTCAGAGCTATGGAGAAAATGAAGAGTGAAAAAAAAAAGCAGGTTATAGATAATAACCTATATCTAAAGATAGCTACAGGTTAAACCTAGTACACCACAGCTTGCACTTGGAAGCAAGGCAGAGTTTGAGAATTTGTTTCCTTAGCTATTCTATTTCAGGGCTTTTGTTTTCTACAAGGGAAGAAAATCTATATCATGGTAACTCTGCCTAAAAAATTAAAACAAATTTCCGTTTCCGCAAGAAATTATTTTCAAAAAATATATAAGTCAATCCCAATCTCTATCAATTTGATGATGTCCAAGAGATAATCAGAAACCTTTCCAATAGGTGAAAGCTACTTGTTTGTATATTGTAATTTCAGTTATTAGTACTGGGGAGAATGTGGTAAGGATTTTGGAAGAGTGGTGTTCATTGAAAACTTGGTGTTTAGCTCTGGCCGGTGTGGCTCAATTGGTTAAGCATTATCTCATGCACTGAGAGGTCGACAGTTCAATTCCCAATCAGGGCACATGCCAGGGTTGCAGGCTCAATTTCCAGTAGGGCACATGCCATGGGCAGCCTATCAAAGTTTCTCTCTCCCAGCCCTCCCTTCCTCTCTTTGTAAAATAAAAAATAAGCAGAAACCGTTTTTTCTCAATGGATAGAGCATCGACTTGGGGGCTGAAGGGCTCGGGGTTTGATTCCAGACGAGGGCATGTACCTTGGTTGCGGGCATATCCCCAGTAGGGGGTGTGCAAGAGGCAGCTGATCGATGACTCTCTCTCATCGATGTTTCTAACTATCTCCCTTCCTCTCTGTACAAAATCTATAAAATATATTTTTAATAAATAAACAAATAAATAAAAAATAAAAAAATTTTAAACAATAAAAAACCCTAGTGTTTACAGTAAACTACATAACTACTACCTAGTTCCAAACACTACACTATAAGAGACTATAAACTTTATATAAGTGCATTTATGTATAAATATATTCATAAACTGTTTACATATAAATGTACACATACTGCCGAAACCGGTTTGGCTCAGTGGTAGAGCGTCAGTCTGTGGACTGAAAGGTCCCAGGTTCGATTTCGGTCAGGGGCATGTATGTTGGTTGCGGGTACATCCCCGGTAGGGGGTGTGCAAGAGGCAGCTGGTTGATGTTTCTCTCTCATTGGCGTTTCTAGCTCTCTATCTCTCTCCCTTCCTCTCTGCAAAAAAATCAATAAAATATATATATTTTTTAAATGTACACATACTAAATAGTGAATAGATATTCTACATACATGGACACACATACAGTTTATTTTAAAGCAAATTCCAGATGGGCATTTTTTTTATTAAAAAAATCTTTACTTGTCTCCATGAGAGTTTTCTTAAATTACATCTGTCAAAAATTCACACCAAAAATGTCTGCTTTTGGCTCTAATGTGCTGACAGTGATAGGGAGAAAGTGAATCTAATATCAAATTTAAATCTACAATTAAAATAATGGAGGTGTCATTTCAATTAAGTATATGTTTTCCAGATACAGGGCCTTACTACCGTGTTTCCCCGAAAATAAGACATCCTCCAAAAATAAGACCTAGCGCATGGAAAGATAAGACATCACCTGAAAATAAGACCTAGTGCACCTTTGGGAGAAAAAATTAATATAAGATACTGTCTTATTTTCAGGGAAACAGGGTAGTTAGGATTAAATACTGCCAATCCTAAAAACTAATTAACAAAGACCAAAACATAGTTCTAAGTCCACTATAATAAAGACTAAACTAAATAAAATGATATTTATTGTCATTCCAAAATCCCTATTAAAAACACTTTAAAACTACACATCAACTTAGTATTAAACAGCTTGTAGCATAACCTACAATTTTAATTCAGAGAATAATGATTCCCAATCCTGATTTTGAGATGCTCTAAGAGTTGATATGTCAACAGGTAATAAGAAATTTATTAATAAATTTCATATGCTATAAATCACTTTGAGGCATAAAAGAACAGTGTTCTTTGACATTAGAAAAACATCAAGATTTTAAAATGCTCAGGAATCACCACTAAACATGTTAAAATTACACATGCTCCATTATTTTTATGCAATTTGTGAATCAGAGCTTGTTCATTTTATAAAGATAAAAATGTATTTGTAATGCTAGAAGAGTGGCTCTCAAAGTGTGGTTTCTAGACCAGGAGCAGTATTACCTGGGAATCCATTAAGAGTACAAATTCCTGCCCTAACCGGTTTGGCTTGGTGGATAGAGCGTAGGCCTGCACACTGAAGGGTCCGGGTTCGATTCCAGTCAAGGGCACATTGGTTGTGGGCACATCCCCAGTAGGGGGTGTGCAGGAAGCAGCTGATCAATGTTTCTCTCTCATTGATGTTTCTAACTCTCTATTCCTCTCCCTTTCTCTCTATAAAAAATCAATAAAAAAAAATTTTTTTTTTTAAAGAGTACAAATTTTGGGCCCTACCGCAGACATACTGACTGTGTCAGAACCTATAAGTCCTAAATTTGAGAACCACTGTGCTAGAAGAATAAAGCAGTAATAATAAATTGCCAGGAATACTAAAAAATACCTACAGACATTTATTAAAAGTGAGTTGGAGATTACTTAAGCTAACTTTTATGTTTAAAACTAGAATCAAATATAAAAATATCATGCAAACTTGACATTTAAATTTTCTATACATTGCTCCCTTGGAATATTGTTTCCTCAAAAAATTTTTTGTTTAATGTCTCCACATTTTATAAAGGGTTCACTTCCAGAATATTAAAAGAAGACCAAATCATTTAAAAAGGGGATTAGGGAGAGAGAAGAAGAAAGGGAGGAAGAAGTTCTAATAGATGACCACTCCAAACATCAGAGAGTATAGCAGCAAAAAGACTACCTTTCACATTTTAGAGCAGTTCGTAATCAAGTTTAAGAACAATAGATTTCTTTAAAAAACCTCTCTTTCGGCTAACAGAAAATAATAGCTGCTTTCTTCACAAGAGAAATAAGTAAGGTATTCAGAGACAAATTCTACATTATAGCCTGTCCAAAATTAGGTGACTAGACTAAAAAATAAAATTAATTAGAAGCATTTCTCGCCGAAACCAGTTTGGCTCAGTGGATAGAGCATTGGCCTGCGGACTGAAAGGTTCCAGGTTCGATTCCAGTCAAGGGCACATTGGTTGCGGGCACATCCCCAGTGGGGAGTGCGCAGGAGGCAGCTGATCGATGTTTCTGGCTCTCTATCCCTCTCCCTTCCTCTCTGTAAAAAATCAATAAAATATTTTTTCTGATTCCATAGAAGAAAAGGGACTGACTAATAAATGAAAGGCTCTAAACAGTTAACTTCAAATTTTTCTTTCCTGGCTAAGAACATGAAGGCAGCCTTCCCTAAAGGGTTGCAAAAATTGGAAGCATCCCAGTGTCAACAGCTAAAGACCTTTCCACCAACCAGCAACTCTACTGAATGGTATGCCCAGGCACAAGCCTACAAACCATGAGCAGAGAGATCATGTATGGAAAATCACTGAGTAGCTGTCCAGACACTCTAAAAGATACTCTACAGCTCGTCCCACTTCCATTGATTCTAACCCTGAAAGAAAGAGAAAAGGTGGTGGCATACTATCACTGTCAGTCTTGTTCACTCAAGTTATCCTCCCTAAAACTGCGTATATTCTTTTGTGGAAGGCAATTTTTAACATAAAAGCCTACAGGTTAATATTTTAGCACATGAACATAAAATTTTTATGACACTGAAGGAGCATTATTTGTAACTGACCTCTTATAATTCTCACTGTCTGAGCAGATATCCACTTCCAAAAAGAACTAAAAAAAAAAAAAAAAAAAGGGAGAGATATTTGAATTATTTTTTAAAAGAAATTCAAATTTTATCAAAAACTTTTGTTCAGCATAATATAATGTAACAATACTCAAAGTATGATTTTCTGGTCAAATCTATTATTGAACTTGAAGCATAAAGTTTAGTTGTTTACTATTTGTGAATCAAATCTGTGAATCAAAAACATTATACGCTCAAAGACTTTTTACTCATGAAAGTATTAAACAATAATCCAATGTTATAATTTCACAATGTGCCTCTTCCATGTATAGTTAGATGAACACATTTCAACTCTATGATTTCTAGTATTTCATCAAAAAAGAAGAAAACCACTAGATTCGGTACAACCCAGTCAGGCAATGATTATGTTTCCAAATGGCTATACCCGCCTTGCTCAGTATGGCTCACTTGGTAGGAGCGATGTCCCATGCCAGTACAATTTCCAGTCAGGATATACTACCATGTTTCCCCGAAAATAAGACATCCTCTGAAAATAAGACCTAGCGCATGGAAAGATAAGACATCCCCTGAAAATAAAACCTAGCGCAACTTTGGGAGAAAAATTAATATAAGGCACTGTCTTATTTTCGGGGAAACAGGGTAGTATACCTAGATTACTAGTTCAATCCATGGTTAGGGTGTGTATAGGAGGCAACCAATTGATGTTGCTCTCCCCGTCTCTCTAAAAATCAATAAAATGGCTATCCCCATCCACAAAGAAAGGGAGAAGACAGATCTCCTATTACATTAAGTCCCTAAATTCTAAGAGACCAAAGAATCTCTATTTTCTTCCCAAATCCAGGATTTCCTTCTAGGCCCAACAATTTAACCGTACCCAAGGTAGAAATTCTCAAATTTGACTATTTATAACAATCACCTGTCAAACTTTTAAAAAACATACAGTATGTCTAAACTCCACCCCAGATCAACTGAGAATCAGAATTGCTGCTAGAGACCCAGAGATTTGAATATTAAGTTTCACAGTTGACTGACATAGTTCCACTGGTTTGGGGTGAAGAAAACATAAGGACAGAACCTATTACACAGATAGGGAAATCCAGAGCTTCTAAGAGAAAACCCTGAATGACAAGCAACAAGACTGGGGACAGTGTAGGTACGTTAATTGGGAAATTAAGATTTACCCAATTATGTAGTTTGAGCTGGGTATAATTTTGATTCATTCACACTGGATGGCCATTGTGTTGGCTGTTGTCATTTTTTAATTTGATAATCTAAGGGAAAGGAGGTCAGTGCCCCTGACTAAACAGTTAGGTATTACATGTTTTAAAAATGCTTGCAGCACACCAGTTAAAAATAGTTACATTAGGTGAAGAAACCAAAGGTGAAAAACAGTATGTAACGTATGCATAATTTATATTTAAAAAATTAGCAGAGTGGGGAACATTTGTTTGAATATGAATAAAACATCTATTTAAAAATAAATACATTTAAATAAGTATATCTGATCATTACTATTAAGAAATTATAATGAATTAATTACACTGCTTATCTCTGGTGAAGGGTATTGGATGGCTGCAAGACCAAATTGCTTTTATTACATTTGTTTTCTCTCTCTTATATGTTTAAAATTTTGAACTATGTGCATGTATCACTTATGTGTTAGCCACTAAAGATTTTAAATATGTTAAGAGAAAGTTTTACGCAGCCCAGCCAGTAAAGCTCAGTGGTTGAGCCTCGACCCATGAACCAGTAGATCATGGTTCAATTCCAGATCAGGACACATGCCCAAGTGTTGGACTCTATCCCCAGACGGGGTTGTGCAGGAGACAGCTGATTGATGATTCTCCTTCATCACTGGTGTTTCTATATCTCCCTCTTCTTTCCTCTCTAAAATCAATAAAAAAAAAAAGTATATATAAAAAAAGTTTTACTCAATTCCAAGCCACTCTGATCCTTTATCTCCTATCTGCCTGAGCATTTAAGTAGACAATGAGCATGTCATTCCCTTATTTAATATACGTAACTAAATCTGTTATCTCCTCAATGAAGCTGGAAAAAGTTCTCTCTTCCAATCGTTTTAGATCTACCACCAATAACACCTTTCAATGTTGTGTAAAAACTAGCCTTCTACAGGCCGTTTCATAGGAATTCCAGTTAACATTTGAGTTACAAAACTAGGAGACATGAAAAGCGGGTTTATTTAAAATATTATTACCTAGAAACATTTAGATGCTTCCAGGTAAAAAGCCATTTGGTGAATTCAAAAAGCTTTGGAATTATGAATCAATTTCCCCTTATAATCTTACTTCATAGAACAACAGTATTTAGAAAAGCTGGAGCCACAGTTCAGATGTGTCAGCTACCTTCTAAACAGTCTCAAGATAAAAATTTCTTCTTTGAAAACACATTTTTGTTGCTGCCCCCCAGTTCTCTGGATTGTACTTTATGTTACCTGGCAGAGATATAGAGGAAACATTTACAAGTTAAAGCAGCAATTCCTAGTCCTCTTGGAGTTACAACATCTTGTGTCATTTTAAAGAGATAGTTTTGAGTTGAAAATAATGACAAACACTCAAAAATTAGTTGCCCCAGATGATGGACTGCGTATAGCTGGAATTTCAATAGGACTATAAGATAAAATATTCTCATATTAACTGGAAAATCGGACTATAAAATTCCCAAGGTACACTCCAATACTAAAAGTTCCACTAAATTCTTGGATTTTATAAGTTGGAACCAAAGGGAAATTAAGTAACTTGCCTTGTCAGGGCCAAGAATACCACTAAATGTTGACACACAAAACACAAACCAGCTATGAATCCTCCTGGTGCTAGTCTACTGATATTACTCTTATTAAACCTGAAAACTAATCAAGCTCCTATCAACCTACTATTCCAATTTGGTATGTGTATAAATACATACATATACATGTGAGCCAACTTCTATGACTAAGGACAGATTTGAAAGCTTTCTATAAAAACAGAGAGTAAGTTTTAGGAACTTCATTAATGAGCATACTCTCTATTTCTGTCTTTGGAGATAGCCAAATATACATAAATGAAACCTTACATTTCCAGAAAAAGATTCTCCAAAACTGAGTCTGCTTTTCAAACTTAACTTCATAAACTCATTTTGTTTTATTTTGAAAATGAAAATCATTTATACAAACTTATTCTCTCTGGGAAGATCACTAGTATTGCCAAACAATTTTAATTCCTATTGTCATGTGATGGTAAACATTACTGTGGTTTTCTTATATAAAGGAGTGAATATGGCATTCCAAAACAATGAAATGAGCCTAAGTCCCAAATAACATCATTGGAAGGCCAAACCAGTTGGGGCCACCAACCTTTGGGTGAGACACTTAACAGTGCTGTTGTTGAAGCCACTTTTCACTTGCTTAAACATTCCAAGACTAGATGGCTTTATGATAACTTGAATAAATAAAAAATGGGTAAGACAACTGTATCATTAGAGCACACATACTAAGATTGACTGGTTGAACTCATAAGAACCTATAATGTATCAATCAGATTCATATTACTTGTGTTAAGTGCAACGTCCTTATAACACTATTTGTCAGTTTCCTAACTAATAGCATCTTCACATAAGCCATTAGATTCAAGTAAAGTAGAGAATAGTCATGAAATTGTACACTTATTGAAACAAACAAAAGACTAGTTAAGCAATAATCTGTTAGAGTAGAAGATCAGTGATTACTTCCTTTAAAAATGTTTGTTACTGTCCCAGATGGTTTGGCTCAGTGGATAGAGCATCAGCCTATGAACTGAAGGGTCCCAGGTTCGATTCCAGTCAAGGGCACATGCCCAGATTTCAGGCTCGATCCCTAGTAGGGGGCGTGCAGGAGGCAGCTGATCAATAATTCTCTCATCATTGATGTTTCTAACACTCTCTCCCCCTCTCCCTTCCTCTCTGAAATAAATTTTAAAAATTTTAAAAATGTGCCGAAACCGGTTTGGCTCAGTGGATAGAGCATCAGCCTGCGGACTGAAAGGTCCCAGGTTCCTTTCGGGTCAGCGGCATGTAAGTTGGTTGCAGGCACATCCCCAGTAGGGGGTGTGCAGGAGGCAGCTAATTAATGTTTCTCTCTCATCAATGTTTCTAACTTTATCTCTCTCCCTTCCTCTCTGTTAAAAAAAAAAAGTCAATAAAATATATTTTAAAAATAAATAAATAGAAAAAAAATGTTAGTTACCTCATATTTAAAGAAACTTTTTCAACCAATGAGTCTTTAGTGTTCATTCACTTCTTCATAATCTTGTTGTTTTAAGGGTTTGGAAAAGTGCTTGATGCATAGCTTCTACAATTATTAATCTTTCAGAGCATATTAGATAACCTTTTTTCTGAATTGTAAAAAGACTCCTCCAATTAGAAATTCTAAATTCCAATGTATTATTCCAACAATTTTCACTTTAATTTACTTCTTTCTTCAACCACGACTATTAGTATATTACCGTATTTTTCGGACCATAAGACGCTCCGGACCATAAGACGCACCAGTTTTTAGAGAAGGGAAATGAAGAAAAAAAGATTCTGAAACAAATAGTGTCCTAAAATATTTTATGTGCATTAAAACCCAACATCACAGTCATAAACACATGTAATCAACCCTGTAAAGTAAACAGCAGCATTTAGAACCATTTTAGAGCTGGGCAAGCACACAGAGACCACACAGAGCCGGGCAAGTAAAAAAACTTTTTTTTTAAAGTATATGTGTAGGCTATATTTGGACCATAAGACGCAGGGACTTTTTCCCCCCACTTCTGGGGGGGGAAAAAGTGCGTCTTATGGTCCGAAAAATACGGTATATATTTTTAAAAATTATTTTAAATAAAGAAAAACACTTGCCCCAGACCTGTTAAACCAGTCTGTGTGATGGCCAAAATGTTTTCCTAATCACTAACTGAAAAGGTAGAATTTTACATAATGTTCTACACCAGAGCCTGTTCACAGCACTTGAGAGAGGTAAATATCAGAGAGAGTTCTGAGGCTGGCTCTTTCACAA